GTCTTGCTCTGTCATCTGGGCTGGAGTGCAGTGGCACAATTATACTTCACTGCAACCCTGATCCTCCCTCCTCTCCTCAGTAGCTGAGATTACAGGTATGCAACCTCCCCCATACTCTGGCTAATTTTTAAATGTTTTTGTAGAGACAAGGTCTCACTACTTTACCCAGGCTGGTCTTAGATTCTGGCCTCAAGCTATCGTCTGGCCTCAGCCTCCCATAGTGCTGGGATTATACACATGAGCCATTGTGCCTAGCCTAGGAACCTGCTATCTTGAACCCTGTTTTACAGATAAGCAAACTAAGGTGGAGAGGTGCTGTGCCACTTCAATTTTACAGGGCTCAGAACTAGCAAAGCCGCACTCAGGTACTTGTGTTGGGCTTCTCTGTACACAACCAGCTGCCTCAGCACTTCGGCCATGTAATCATGGGGTTGGCAGGGCCCTCCAAAGTCCTTTGCCTCACTCCCCACACCCTACAGGTAAGAAGTTTAACTAATAGACAGATGGCAGCCAACGGGCCTTTTTGTAAACAGGTCCAGATGGAGAATGCATAATCATCCTCATAACGCACTGGAACATCACTGCCACCAGGGCATGCAACTCACGTATTTATGGGACTCAAAAGGCACCGGATTGCAGGAGACAGGGTGTCCTTTTCATGTTCATCTCTTTGGTTGTTTTTCTCTTTCTTATTATCTTTTATACATCAAGGCTTCTCTAATGGCTCTTTATATGTTGCAAATATTTCCTCCTAGTCTGTGTATGCCTTTTACCTTTGTTCACAGTTATTTTTTTGACATAAGAGGTTTTTCATTTTTATGTTATTAAACCTGCAATTCTTTTTCTTTGTGACTTCTGGGGCAAGAGGCCCCAGATTATAAAAATATTCTTCTAATTTTCTTCTGGTCCTTTATGTACCTTAAAAAAATATGTCTATTTTTCTTTAATCTGCTTGAAATTGTTTAGATATAGTATGAGAATAACACGCCCCTCCCATGGACACAAAGCCAAACGGAGCAAAGAGAGCCCCAGCTTTAAGAGATGTAGAGTCCCGCAGGGTGCGGGGCCAATGTAAAGGGGTCAACAGAGGGGCAAAGCAGGCTCTGAACAGGACAGGGTTCCTGTCACAAATGAGAGGAGAAGCTATGGGTTCACTCAGAAGTTCAACTTTAGTCTCTCACAACCACTTAAACTCAGTTACGTTTTCCTTGGCAGCTGTGAAGGACTAAAAATTAGGAGTTTAGAATGACCCAAAGGCTCCTTTCTCCACGGACTGTTTGAGAACCAAGCCCTATCTGTAAACCAGCACTTCCTAAGCCTCCCTGCTGTTAGATTGCCTGGATCTGAGCAGATCCCAGGGGCTTCCAATCTTTGTCCACCTCAATTTTCCACGAATAGCTCCAGGGTCTCTTAGGTACCTTGTTACGGACATAAGGCTCCTAGGCGTCTCTCATGGAGAAAGGTTCCTTGCCCCATGAGTAGTGCCAAACAACCCCAACTTTCACAGCACATTTCTTCAGCTGGCTGGCATCAGGGCAGCAAGAATATTGAGAAAAAAAATCTCCCTGGGCTGGGTGTGGTGGCACTTGCCTATAGGCCCAGCTGCTTGGGAGGCTGAGGCAGGAAGATCGTTTGAAAGCCAGGAGTTCAAGTCCAACCTTGGCAACAGAGTGAGACCCTGTCTCTTGGGGCAGGGGATAAGTGTGGAGAAATCACCCTGGACATCAGCCCCTCTAAGGGGACAGGGCTCGAACTTCTGGAAAACACAGAAAGCTGAGAGAGTGAGGGTCCAGAGCTCCTATTAAGCAAAGAGCAAGCTTTCACTTCTGAGGAATCTCAAAAGCAAACTGTAACAATCTTTCCCCGTTATTTGGGGCATAGGAAATGCATACTGCTGCAACACTTTCTACTTGGTTTCCCAGGCCAATCTTTACCTTGGAAGGGAGACTGAACCACAGAGGAACACAGAAATGTCTTAGCCCCCAAACCTAGAATGCTGGACTCCTCAGAGAGTTCTCTGGTGAAACAGAGAGCAAAGACATGCAGGAAAAGCCTCTCTAAGCCAGGAGTACATGGGGACCTCAGTGGCCCCTGAGCCCAAGCTGCGGCAGATACTCTTAGGAAATCATTTGTGGAGACAGACAGCTCCCCACATGTCCCACCCCATCTGTACTCAAGGAACTTGAAGTGCTATAAACATCCAAATTGAAATGTATTTTTATTTATTTATTTTTTCTTTCTTTTTTTTCTTTTGAGACAGAGTCTCACTGTGTCGCCCTGGGTAGAGTGCCATGCCGTCATAGCTCACAGCAACCTCAAACTCTTGGGCTTAAGTGATTCTCTCTCGCCTCAGCCTCCCAAGTAGCTGGGACTACAGGTGCCCACCACAATGCCCGGCTACTTTTTGTTGCAGTTGTCATTGTTATTTAGCTGGCCTGGGCTGGGCTCAAACCCACCCGCCTCGGTACATGTGGCTCGTCCCATAACTACTGTGCCATAGGCACTGAGCTTGAAATACATTTTTAAAAAGAACATTCTTTATACCTTAATGAAAATTTCAATTAAAAATAATATTAGTGATGGAAGAAGCCCAAGTGCCCATCAACTCATGATAGATCAATAAATTGTGGTATATGTACACCATGGAATATTGTGCAGCCTTTAAAAAAGTTGGAGACTTTACCTTTTTTATGTTTACATGGACGGAGCTGGAACATATTCTTCTTAGCAAAGTATCTCAAGAATGGAAGAAAAAGTATGCAATGTACTCAGCTCTACTATGAAACCAATTTATAAGCACCCACACTTCCATATGAATGCTGTAACCCAACTACAGCCCAAGATGAAGGGGAAAGATGAGGGGGAGAGGAAGGAAGGGGGAGCTGGTGCATTTTACAAGGGTACATGTTAAATCTACTAAGTGTAGAATATAAATGTCTTAACATAATAACTAAGAAAATGTGGTGAAGGCTATGTTAACCAGTTTGATGAAAGTATTTCAAATTGTATATAAAACCAGTACATTGTATCCCATAATTGCATTAATGTACACAGATATGATCTAATAAAAGATTATTAATATTAGCTATGTTTACAAAATGTCACATATTACTCACCTTCCAGATATGTTATAGATTTACTGATTGGCTGTACCACCAGCCAGGATCCTGTGCTGGTGCACAGCCTTGGACAGGGGTTTGAGCTTCACATAAATACACCATGGACTAATCAGGCTGTAGCTTTGAGACTTACATCTTGACTGAGCATGCCCATGCGCACAGAGCCCAGAGCTCAGGTATACCCCAAAACATATAAGCCTGCACTCAAAGGAAAACCCTAGGCCAGCCCTTGATAGTCTGTTTGGCACATGCTCGGGCAGTGAGCTGATCAGTGGGGCATTAACCAGGGAATTAATTACTTATCACTGATACCATCACCCAAGTGGGGTTTAGACACACAATGCTAAGGATTGGGGGACCTTGTCTAACTTTATTTACACTGGTGATGAGGCATTCTAGCAGGAGTTAGGCATATTATGTATGATTCAA